GCACTTCTTTGGCAAATCAATGATAGGAGCAATCCTTGTCTCTTTGGAGACTTTGCGAATCTTGCGCATAGCCTTGGGGCTAAGGGATCCGGAGGAGAAAAACTCCTCGTACTTGGCTTGATCGAACTCCACAGAAAGAGTTTAAACGGTAGTTCCAGCGAGTTTGACATCAAATTGTGCCACCACCTCTTCATCGGTAAAGAAGCTAGTCTCCAACGGAGTCGTCATTTTTTGTTTGTGGGAAAACTTGTGAGAAAAATAAGAATAAAATTTGTATTAATCTCCCTAACTGACTTAGGAAAAGAATGAATACAGTCTCTCACAGTAATCTCTCTCTAACTAACTTAGAAAAAAAATTATAATTTCTCTAATTGGTTTTCCGATTTATAAAAGAAGGAAGGAATCGACAGAGATCCTTCCTTTTGTTTAAAGCTGGGTTCTTCTTGGTGTTGATGGGAGCTTGATTCTTGTATCTCGTTGACGATTCGAACGCTTCGCTTCGTGGAACTTGGTTGATTCCTCTTGATTTGACATTAAGGAAAACTTGCAAGGTAAGTTTGGAACTCCTAACAAGTTAAAGAACTCTTAACGAGTTTAAAACTCTATGAAAGAATTGACTTGATCTAACTAAAATCGGTTTACGGTCAAGGAGAAGAAATCCCCACGAACAGCTTCTAAGGATGCTCAAAACTCTCTAAGATCCGATCCTCCCAAAAATGATATGCTAGAAGATCTGATTTAAGCTGATTTTAAGCTATTTATAGGGTATTAAGGGGTGTAACTAACCCCTGAAATTGCTCCTAAGTGGGGTGTAATCCCCCTCAAATTGTGGGAAATGGTTTTAGAACCGTTTAGCTCGTGTTTGAATGATTCAATCGTGAAATTCGCGTTCTAGGCATGAACTCTATGTCTTGAACTTGGAACGTGGCATTGAGCTCTGCGTGTTGAGCTGAGAACGTGGTAGTGAACCCTGTGTTCTGTTCTTAGAACGTAGAGGTGAGCTTTGTGTTTTGTTCTTTGGACACAGAGGTGAGCTCTGCGTATTGAATCTGGAACGCAACGATGAGCTCTACATTTTGAGCTTGGCGTGTAGCAACGAGCTCCCCATCTTGATCTTGGAACGCGACGATGACCTCCGCGTCTTGATCTTAGAATGCGGTGATGACCTCCACGTTTTGATCTTAGAACGCGGCGATGACCTCCGTGTCTTGATCTTAAAACGCGGTGATGACCTCCGTGTTTTGATCTTAGAAAGCGGCGATGACCTCCACGTCTTGATCTTGGGACGCGACGATGACCTATGCATCTTAATCTTGGAACACGGCGATGACCTCCGCGTCTTGTTATTGAAACACGAGAATGACCTCCACGTGTGGGCTTGAAGAGATCGTCAATTGTAATCTCTTTTACAAAGATCATCGTTTTGTAATCCTTACATTTGGCTCTTTGAAATGTGAGAGTTGTTAATTTGTAACTCTCGTATATTACGAAAGTTATCAAATTGTAACTTTCATCTATCATTGTGAAGGTTATCAGATTATAACCTCCATCGATTGACGTGAAAGTCTCATAATTGTAACCTTCTAAAAGTTATCAAATTATAACTTTCATCATTGGTGTTTGACGGGGATCAGCTATCCTCAGTAATTTTTAGACAACCTACAACCAGCAATGATCCCAGCTTAGCTGACTCCCTGAGTCGACATCATCTTATGTCGACTTGAAGGGGGGGTACTTGTCAGTCCTTTTGTCAAAGACAACTCGCAACGAGCCCACTCGACCAATTATTCAACGCCTCGCGAGATCGACTCGAAAGTTGTTACTTCTTGGCCAAGCTAAAGGACTTCGACCTCGAGCTTCCCCCACTGACAATGTCAATGTCGCATTTAATGCTTGGCAGGTACCATCATGCCTCTAGCCCTGATAGTCTTCATGACTCACCGAACCACATCAAGCTTTGGAAGGTTCTAATCGATGGAGGAGTACTGGGAGATATGACAGTTATCGAGGAAGGTCAAAATCCTGGGCCCGAGACGACAGCGAAAAGGAGTGCTATTATTAGGGAGAGAATGATCACATTCAGTTCAAATGTTCCCAGATACGTGATGATTTGAAGAGTATTAGATAGATGAAGCTTCAAGAAAATGGGAAGAATGCGGACTCTTCGGTGGTTGTGTGTGATGAAGATGTGGTTTTATTAATGCAGAGTACATGTATTGATGCGAGTAACACTTGGGTGTTAGATTCTGCAGCCTCTATGAACGTTTGTAATAACAAAAACTATTTTAACACATTGAAAACAGATGAAGAATTTGACGATGTGATTGTTGGAAACAACGAGAAGATAAAGGTTGAAGGTGTTGGAAATGTTCGCCTCAAGCTTCACACTGGGAAGGTCAGAATTCTTCATCATGTGAGATATGTACCGTCATGTGGTGCTAATTTAATTTCGTTGGTGAGATGGCATCACGTGGGTACAAGCATGTGGGTGAAGGAGAATGGTGCAAAGTGTATAGAGATGGTGATTTGATTTTGCGAGGGAGGAAGAATAGGGGTGAAGGAGAATGGTGCAAAGTGTATAGAGATGGTGATTTGATTTTGCGAGGGAGGAAGAATAGCAACCATATTTGCTATTTAAGAGATGGTGATTTGATTTTGCGAGGGAGGAAGAATAGCAACCATATTTGCTATTTAGATGGGCGATCCATTAATAGTGTAAATTACTCTTCTCAGACTCTTGTCCATAAGGAAGAGGTGAAGAACAAGAAGAAGAGAGTGAGTTTTTCTGAAGCCGTTGAGACACTTGGAGATTTTTCGTCGAGGGAGGATATGTTGGGTATCAACTCAAACTCCAAGTTAGTATAGTGCTTTTAATTCTTTATAGAACTTCATGAGAATTAGATAGGGTTAGAGATCTATCATGATTAGGAGTTTGGGTTTCAACATGATTAGAAGTTTGAATCTTATTCTAATTAGGAAGTTAGGCTAAAGATAGGGTTTTGGTTTCCCTATATATGTCCTTCTATTGTTAGAGGAAAAACTAAGAAGAAGAAAAAGTGTAGAGAAAAAGATAGAGAGAGGGTTTGGCAGTTTTTGTCCTTGTAAAAGATTATAATTTGGAGGTAATAGTAGATTGATTTTAGTCTCGTGGTTTTTTCCTGTTGAGGGTTTTCCACGTTAAATCTTGTGTGATTTTATTTGCTGCGTTTGTACGGTTTTAGGGTTTTTGTGAGATCTAAAAATCCCTACAAGAAGCACTTGCACTTTAAAGTTGCATAAGATAATACGGTGTTTATATCAAGTATTTAGAATGGGATCATCACAAATTTATTACGGGGTTTGCTTGTCCAGCTACATATTAAAACACAAATGAAATTTATTACAGGGTCATAAACTTTTAACACCTGGTGCTAATTATTAAAAATATTATAGTTAAAATTTAAATTTTAAAAAGAAGTATTGTATGTTTTCCCAAATTTTATTTTTTTTAAAATTATTTTTAGAGTATGTATTTTTATTTTGGCTTTGCATTGAAATTATACGTCATCTCTACATCTATCACCACAGAATATGTTAGGCAATCCTATAACCACGCCACGGATGCTGACAGCGGCCTACCGAAACACAATGCATCCGTTGCAACCCCTGCTATTCACAATTGTCCCCGGTCTTCAATTTAGTATCATGTTTATAATTTAGTATTCCATTTGTATTGGTTTTTCAACATTTGTTTTTTCTAATTTACTATTCTGTTTGTAATTTAGCTCTTTAGCATTTTTTTTTTCTCTATCCTAGTATTCCATTTGCAATTTAATTTTTAATCTAGTCTTCCATATTTTTTATAATTTGGTATTTTGTTTCTAATTCAATTCAACATTTTTTTCCCCTATCCCTACTCATCCCTAGACTAGTTTACTGACTAAAAAAAAGCGATGAGGCCATCGTTTCCATACACGCAGCAGAACTATTGCTTCGATCTCTTGCTCTTCTCAGCCATTCTCACCCCCGCAAACTTAAAAGCATTCATTAATAACACTTGTTATAGACAGTCAGCCTAACGTATCAACCGCACATTTTTTTCTACGGCCCAGCTGTTGCCTCTTCTCAGCTATTATCACTATCGCCGCGCTCCCTGTGGCTGCAATCTCCACTAGAAATGGCGTCCCTCTCACCTTAACAACCGCTCATCGTTGGTCTCCCTCTTTTATTAGTCTTATTACCACAAGTAAAAAATGAGACATCCTATACGAAAAATTCCGTCTAGAAAAATTAAATTATGGATGATGACGTTTAATATATGGATGATGATGCTGTCATATTCTATTGGCAATGATGAAACCACAATCGTATCTCCTTTTCTGCGTGTCTATCATTTATTGTTACCACTGTAGGAGTTTAATTTCGACGCTAACAATGAAGCTAATTTAGTTTTTAATCTTCAAGATGAACAATAAAATTTGTTATTATGATCAGCTACACTTCCATGTTATCTGTAATTTGATGTTGATTGGTTGGTCTCATCTGCAGCTGGGTTTTACGAATACAAAAGAAAGCGATGAGGTTACCCTTTCCGTGCGCGCAACCGAATTTGTGGCCTTGGACGATCTCCGGGGTAATTGGGGAAAATTGGAATAGAAAAAAAAAATGTTGAAAAACTAAGTTAGAAATAGAATGTTAAATTAGAAAAAAAATTTGGAAATACTAAATTACAAATGGAACGTTAGGATAAAAAAATGTTGGAAAAGCTAAATTACAAACAGAATGCTATACTAGAAAAAATTGTTAAAAAACCAATACAAATAGAATACTAAATTAAAAATAGAATACTAAATTAAAAATAGAATACAACATTAATAGATGGTGGATTCTCTCAATGAATGGAACCAAAGGAAATACAATCAAAATATCCGCCAATGCGTGAATATGAGCAATCTTTGTTGCCCCCACAATTATAGACCAACAAATAACCACTACAACGAAAGTGAAAGATAAAACCCATGTAGAAAAATCTCAGAAAATCTATTTTCATGATTAATAAGTTATTAGTGGAAAGGCGGCATGACCAAGTACATGTTTTGGTTTTTTGCCTCTGTGAAGTGTATCACATGTCCCTGTAAAAACTGTATTTCAACGGAAAGAATCAAGTCAGTCCTCAATGTAATGTCAAAATAATCCATGACTTCATGTTTTTTGCTCTTTCAATCACGAAAACAAAAACCAAGCTCAAACACCCCACCCAAAAAATGGTGGCTCCTTCTATCCTCAAATTCTATTATGAACCGGTGTCCATCTCCTCACTGGATTTCTTGTACTCTGGCTTAAGCTCATGGGTACCTTGATTGGGTCCCCTCTTGTTGTAAACACACAAATCGTTTAATATCTCCTTTACAAATTGCTGCATAGAATAAAAAAGAAACACAGTCAGCGGAATAAGGCAGCATTCACCTAAATAAAGAACTTGAGACGTCAATATAAAAAGAAAACCTATACCGAAGCTTGCAACAAGATTATTGGTCAATACACATTGATATTACTTTACTTCCTTGCAGTGGTTTGACTAGCATGCAAAGAATTCTACTGCGCAGGTTCAGAAACACAGAAAAACTACATGTCGTTGTCAATGGGATTGATGGTTACAAGCTGAAAAAAGAGATTTTACAAGATTAAAGTAAATGCGAAGTGGGGGTTTGCTTTGGCCGGCCACCAAATTATCAAGCCATTTTGTGAAAATTTGTTTAGAAAACTAAACTGGTAGATTTAGAAGAAGAATGCTATAAAACTTTCAAGTAGCGGCGGAAGAACTGCTTGAAAGGTGATCAAGATTCAAGATCAATAGTTATATTGAATATAATAGGATTAAAAAATTGTAGGATGCATAAAGGGCAATACTATTCTCAATATGACCATAATTATTTCATTTAAAAATTTATCATTCATTACTAGCATTATTGCACGTGCAAATGCACAAGCCATCGATATTAAATTTATTTATTCTAAATTATATTTAAAAAGAGCTAATTGTATTTTAATATCTTAAAATTACATCAATTTCTCAACTTTTATATCATGGAGCTTAATTGCTCAAACATACTAAAAAAGGTGATATTGTAATCTTAGTCGAGCATGAGAATGTAGCTTTCCATTTACTGAATATCAATTAAATCAGAAAATATTTTTTTCTCAATAATATAAAAGATTATAAGGAGTTGTTTAAAAAATTCTACTATTTAAATAAAAAGTATTATTTAAAGTGATCATGGTCATTTTTCAATTGTATATTTTGCATTGAGATGTATTTAATAATCATCTCGGAAACGAAACTTACCATTTTATACTTATATCTTATTATCATTTTATATTTTAATCTCTTACAACGTATAATTGATGAATATTTAATTATGTTAGTTCAAATCCTATTCTCATTCATGATTTAAAATGCTCTACCAATAAGGAAAAGATGAGCATTTAATTATTGTGAATGAAATTCAATTCTCAGTCATAATTTAGAATCTTCTTGAAATAAGAGAAGAAACGAAAGAAAGGGGAAAATATTTCATGTGAAAAATTACAAATATGCCCCTCACACTTCTACTATGATGAGAAATGCCCTTCAATCTTTTTGGTACACTCACTATGATTTTAATATAATAGCGTAGTATAGATAGATACTTATGTTATTCACACATGATTTTAGCTTTTTTAAGGAGAATGAAGTGCATTCTAAGGCCTTGTTTTGGCAAACTGCTAAAACTGGCCAGGTTCAAACATCGTTCCAATTTTAGTATCTTTTGTGATTGGGAAAAATTGGGTTAAAGATGGCTCAATTGTTTAGTCTGTTTTTAGTTCATTTTAGAGGCTTTTAACCAGACTAGAATTGAACCAGCCCCTACTTAGTTCAATTCTAGGCTGGTTAAAAAATAAAATTAAGCTGATCCCAGTTTGAAGAGATTTGTTGAACAAGCACTAAGATGTGGAAAGGCATTGTAGGAAAAGGGTCCAAAACAGAAAAGGATACTATTAGTAATTAATATCGCAATATTGTTTCTTCCATTAACGTAGATCAAATAACCAAAGGAAAAGATGATAGATGAACTTATATCAAATCAGATTAAGCAAAGTGCTGGGTCGAAAGTGCTTGTGTTGTGTTTCTTAAAGACTGCAGGAACAAAAAATGAAGATCGATGCAGCCAACCCCAAAGTACTTTACGCTTTTTCCCTAAAATTGTTGATTAAACACAAATGTAAGAGCAATGGAATAAATATTCAACAGAAATAATTCAAGTTCTTATCACAGACAGTCGAACTTCTCAAGTTTAAACTTCAAACAAATAGCATACCTCAGGCTGATCTGTTTCTACTACCAGTTGCTTCAAAGCCCAATTTGGTTGCCTTTCAAAAAGTTTAAACATAATATTTTCAAGTTCTCGGCGATCTCTTCGTGTGCGTTTTGTATCAGATGGCTTTGTCGGTAGTGCTTTCTTCTTGTCCTGGTACAGTAAGATAAAATTTCTTATAAAAAATGCAATGGCTATTAGAAAGTGAAAAAATAAGAATATTTTTGCTTCTAATCTAGCCAAAAGTTTTTCTGCCAGTTCATTTGTGTAACCCAACTTTGCCCCCAAATTTACAAGATAAAATCGAATGAAAAGGATTGATACTCTCATTAACCAGAAAATAAAAAAACCTTAACATAAAATACAATAACACAGAGTAGCCCAGTGTCAGCCATTTATGTAAAATAATAACAAAAATTAATACATCTAAGGAACTTACCTTTCCACCAGTCAGATTGACACTAACCATACCAGGCAACGGCGTCATATGCATACCATTGACATTGCCAGTTAATACCTGAAAAGACATGTTGTAGACAAAAGAAAATACTTACTAAACCATAATCTTCAGAAAGAGAATATATCGGCTCAGATAAGTGCATGCCTGAGTTTGCCTGGTCTTAAGCATAGCTTTGTTTGTTCTTTCACGGCATAACTTGCCATACTGCATGAAGTTTTCACTATGAGGCTCCATGTCAAATTTATGTTCCATCTTTCCTTCCAATGAGAACCTTCCTGCAGTTTTTTTAAAGAAAAAAAAAATCATTTTTTACAATTTTATAATAAACTAATAAAAGCATTCTGGCAGGAGGAACACAAAAGGTAAATACAAATGCAGTAAATACAAATGCAGAGATTTCTGCATTTGTATATATACAATATTCTAAATATCAATTCATTTGTCAAAAAAAAAAATATTGGCAAGTGACAAGTGTAAGTTAATATAGCACAATGAAGACTAATTTTCAAATCCCTAAGATAATTCCAGAATCGGGCATTATGAATTTATTTGAGAAAGTAACCGTCAATCAATAAAAAGTCATGACCAAATTTATATGGCCTTTGATGTATTGTTTTAGCATAAATTGAAGATAACCCCTCCAATTTTCAAAATGTTACATTAGCTACCACCAAACAATTTACTATCAGTAACCACACAACTCTTCATGTTGCAAGCGGTCCAAGAAAACTATACATATGCCTTTTATGAAACTAACTGAGAAGCGGAGATGATTTTATCACCAACACTTTTTAACTTTCAATGCCCATTTTCAGCTCCACCAACAACCTAAGGGGATTTTCAATTTCATTGTCCAACTATGCTTTAGTATCATCTCGGGGGATTTTTAAATTCTATCTTCTAGCTCTTCTCCAATATCATATTAAGGAACTTTCATTCGCATTTTCCAATTTTTCAATTTCTCTACGGACAGATGTAGGTTTTCCTCAAAGATTGCTTTTGTTTCCTAGACCTTGAGATTGGAATCTGAAAACTTCTAGGATCAGCTTTTAAGGGTACTGGATATGCTGTTTGAATTTCAGGTTTCTAAACATGTTGGCATGGTAAAGAAGAACATTTTATCTTCTGATGCCTTTTTTATGTCTTCTTGTTTTAATCAGAAGCACTGATTAGGAAACCAGACCAACTTCAGAATTTCACTAGTACTCAAAATCTTCTCTCCCTATCTTCCTGATAATTCATCCTCGCTTTCTATTTTCTATTCTTTGATTTCCTTCCTCTTTTTCTTGATCTGGCTACAAAAAGACAAGTAGAAAGTGGGAAAGCTAATTCTCTTCTCCCGAAAGCCAGAACGAAAGTAAATTTAATGCTAAAAAACAATAGGAGAGGGGAGTAATAAGTCAGTTGATATTTTGGACTAGTTTATGGAATACAGACAGGGTAATGTTTTGAACATAAATTGATTATTTGTACTTACTTTTCTTAGTTATCTTGAAACATGAAAATTTAAACATTTTTAATCCTTCAGTCGAGCATGAGGGCGCTTAAAGACTTCGACGTGAGATAACACTCTTGGATCTCCCACGATGCCTCGGTCATACAACTGTAATGCATGTCATCATCCTTTTGTAACATACATCTTTTACAAGCAAGATGCAAGTTTTTGATTTGCATCAAGTATACTCCAGTTTTATTTGACTGATTTGGTTGGTGGACAACTTGTTACCTACATAAACATGTACATATTTGTGTCTAAATCTATAAAACATAGATACCCAAGATATAGGGGTTTTGAAAGGTGAAGACAAACTAGTTAGCAATGAGAAGATGCAAACGCATATCTGTCCCTGCTAAAGAGTAAAGGTAAAAATAGGAGCTAAGTGATAAAAAAGATAATGTCAGAATTGGCCTTGCTGCTTGGATTTGCAGTTCGGCTGTTGAATATTGGTTTAGATATTAAAAAAACTTGCAATTAGTTCCATGCAAAATACCAAGCCATGAATTTGCTAAGTTAAACTCTTTTAGGGTTTGGTGAGCACAGCTAATTCATAAAGAATAAACCACACAGCTTAGAAGAAGAACAAATATGAATGCCAAACACATGCTAGAGTAAGTATGATCAGAGTATTGAATTACCTTATTACATAAAAAAAAATTAGGCGCTAGTTACTAATAGAAACCCCCCCCCACCCTAATGTATTGCCCAGATGTGGATAGAGCCCTTCATGTGTTCCATTGGTGCGGATAGACTGCTGTACTATTTGCACAAGTGCGGATAGACACCCTCGGTGAACTTTTTAACCCTTAAGATTAAAAAAAATTTAGCAATTGGATATCCGCACCAATAACACTACAGGGCGTCTATCCGCCTCAGTAAAACTTCTCTTAATCTTTTAGGGGTAAAAAAAAAGTTTACTCAGATGGTCTATCAGCACAATTAGAACTATAGGGATCTATCCACAATTACATGATACTACTACATGGGTTCCATCAGCAATTAACCCACAAAAAAATTATGGTAGGTTTAATTGCAGTGATACTCGTTCTCATGCCACATTAGGCTGTGTCGTACTATAGCATTGCATTGCTTATTGACATACGATACATATTCATTAATAGGAGAAAATGTAAATGACAGGTCAATCAGTTAGTGTCTTAGTGATGATCCAAAAGAAACAAACATGTGAAGATAATATAGATTATACTCAAATTTGTAGCCCACTAATTCTTACCTTGGTTTGATTCAGAAAAAACACACATGGGAACAAAGTCCTTGAACATATTCAAAGAGTAGCTCTTTGGGGTATTCGCAATCTCATTTTGAACTAACTCCATCTTGAACTGTCAATCCCAAACATGCAAGCAAGATTAAGAAAATAGTTTTAGGGAAAGGATGAATTCATAACGTGGCTTGTTAATAGGCATCAATAACTGAAATTTCATATGACATGGTGGGCGCCAGACAAAAGTATAAGCAGAATTACTATACAGTATACACTTGACATAGCTTATATCAAATAGACAAAGAAGTATATCTCAAGGTTTACATTAAACATGTGATGTTAAAATCAAAATGAGAAGATGAACACAGTTTTAAAAGAACTAGCTCATATGATATATATGCATAATTGTTGCACGATCTCAATTTCTAGATAGATCAACAAAAATGTTGAAAGTCAAAGAACAGTAAATACTAATCCAAGCAGAATATATGGTAGCATCTAGTCGAGTATATTTGATGAACAGCAAGACCTATGTAATAAGAGTTTCCAGATATTTATTTATTTATCACTGCAAGACATCCAGCCAGCAGGATTAGTTAGATCAGATATTAGATTTTCCCTGGTTAGAGTGGTAAACATTATTCATCAAATCAGGCTGCTATGCGTAACAGAGTTATCCAATAGGACACTAACCAACTTGAACATTATATGAAGAGATCCAGGACGAATGAATGAGTTTGCTTACTTGTGTACTGTATGGAGACTCAGGTTAAGTTAAGCCAGTGAATTCATATGTCAGCATCCCCATAGCAGATTCATCACATGCTAAATTATTATAAAGATAACCATGACATTTAGGTTTAGGTTTATGGAATTGAATTTCACATAGGTATGAATGTATGTATGCACGTATTGTGTGTGTCTGCGTAAACAAACATTTTTAAACAACAAATCTGTGATACCTGCTGTGCATGCATGGACTTGTACCTAAGACCATTACCATAATTAATCTTGATGAAATTCCTTAATTTTACTGAAGCTTCATTACTAGAGAGCTCAAGTTTGCCAGAAAATTGCCCAACTTCAGAAAACTTTTCATAGATACACTACACAAATAAGCTTTTTTAAATAAATGCTAAACTCCAGATGCTTGTGAGTGCATTACTCTATTTGACATTGCTTTAGTTTCATAAAAGCTGCGTTCAAATACTCTTATGCTTGAAAAAATAAATTGAGACCAAACTTTAACAAAATAAAGAAGAAAACCAGTTGCACATATAACATAATGTACAAAGTGGCATGTCTACCTAGCAAGAGACCAGGATGACATGATATCTAGTTCATAGCCAAAACTGAATAGTTTTCTTCTCTCGACAACGTTTGATTTTGACAACTTTGATGCTTAGCTATAAATTGAAGCTTCCCCTCTTGCTTACATCAAAATGAGCCACTTATGGAAGTGACTCAATGTCAAGAAAGCTCAACAAAAGGAATTTACCATGTTTTTCTTTATAGCTCCATCTGACTTCAGCCATCCATGAATTGATGGCTATCTTCCAAGCCAAGAAAAGTATGAGCAAGAAGAGGTCTAGCAACATTAATGGACAGCAGTTCTACCCCTTTTCTTGGGGTGTGATCTATGTTCATAACATATTTGCCACTACACTTCTTTCTTAACCTTTTCCAATTACCATAACAATGTTGCCTGGGTTCCCAGATGTTTTTTGAAATGTGATAATGTTGCCAGGACTTTTAACGGTTTAACCTGGGCAGAATAAATGTCAATACTGCTGAGCTGCAAACTAGATTAAAGCACTATTCTTAATGCCTATGGAAAATAAGACCTTCCATGTGTTAGTGGAGTATGGCTTATCTTGTCTGTAAACAATAACTAAGAGCTTCTTTAATTCTCCGCTATCAAAGCATGTTAGATGGCTGATAAAACAAGCTATGAATTTGCAGAAATGAACTGCACAGAAGACCCTATCAGCTCCACCTGAAGAAAGAATTGATCCGCTAAAATCAGTGCGAACCTCATTTGCAAAGACACGGGTTATAAGCCCCCGACAGAATATCAAAACGGACATCCAAAGGAGATCCTTCAAGAGAGAGAGTGGCAAGTATCTCTATCCAGACTGAACATGTCTTTTATGACATCCTTATAAGTTGATCTAATGAACTGCATAAATTGGTGAAGATTTGAAGGAGTAGCAGGGACCCCTGAGATTGAAATCGGAACCTGAAAACTAAATTTTAATTATGAAGAAATTTTCACTGTAGACTCAATCCCATATTTAATCCCTAAAACCAACCCACTTTAAATTTATTTATGAGAATCGACCCACTTTGAGTTAATTACGGTACTAATTAGTCGGGGTTGCCAACTCCGACTAATTAGTAACCTAATTATAAGCGGGGTCAGGGAGCAGGGAAGGTCTGCGGTTGCTAATTAAGCTACTAATATTAGAACCGCAATTAACTTAAAGTGGGTCGGTTCTCATAAATAACTTTAAAGTGGGTCGGTTTTAGGGATTAAATATCGGAATGAGTGTACAGTGAAAATTTCTTCTTTTAATTATTTTCATAATGTCTTGATCCTTTTTAAGGTCACCATTTCTAAAACATACGGCGGGGAAAAGAAACCCATACATTTTGAGCATGATATAAGAATCGCAATTAATGTTTAAATATTTTTCCATGTTATTTCACCTAACCACTAATAAGTCAAAAAAAAAACTGCATCGCTGCATCCCCTCTCTCTCATTCAGCTGATCCACCTTCCTCTCGATCTTCCCCTCAAATTTCTCGGAAAAAAAAGAAATGAAAAAAATCGCATCGAAGGACGAGAGATAGGGACCTGGGGAGAGGTGGACTCGTCGTTGCTGAGAGGGTCGAGGGAGAGCACGACCTTGGCGACGACGGGATGGGCGGTGGAGGAGGAGGCGGAGGCGGTGGAGTCAGCCGCCGCCGCCGCCGCAGCCCTAGTGGCCGCAGATTGCCAGGATCTGGAGACGACCGGGGGCATTTCATCAGCCAGACCGAGCGATCGGCCTTTCCTGTCTCAACGACGTGCCTTCCGTCTTCGCGTCAGCGACATCGCGGACGGGTTTCTCGTGTTTCCGTTTTCGTTGTTGCTGCCAGCAGCGGAAGAGGGAACCGCGAGAAAGTTTATGATATCGACAGACAGAGGGCTCGTACAGAGATATATATAGAAGGGGGTTGGGGTGGGGGTGGGTGGGATGGGGGTGGGGGGGGGTGTGGGTGGGATGGGGTGAGATAATGACTGGGGTTCTAAATCTCGTCGCGGCCTCATCATAACCCGTTACTCGAATCCATTGTTAATTTTTGGGGGTAATCTCACAGGCAACCTGCGTTTGATGGGTTTTCAGAAAACCTCCCTCAACTTTAGGATATCTCACATAACACCCTCTAAAAATAAAAATAAAAATAAAAACTTTTTTTTGAGAGGAAAAATCCATATTTTGTGGAAATCACAAAATTCAGAATTTTTCTCTCCAGACAATTTTAGTTATTTATAAACTATTGATATAGAGGGAATCCGCTGAGAAAAAGTTAAAGAGTATTTCGTGCGGTGACAAAACAAAAAAGTTAAAGAGTGTTTCGTGCAGTGACAAAACAACATAGTGTCTAGTGGTGTCACATGAAACCACCGGATTGCATACTTCAAAAATATTTTTATTTACTTTCATTTGTATTTACCACTTAGAACAAAATTCTGGATCCACCAGTGATTGTGTGACACCCAAAGTGTAGGTAGGTCATGTGAAATAAGCAAACTTCGGAGATGTTATATGAAACTTACCCTAAAATTATTAAAAAAAATATCTCAATATAAAAAATGCCCTACCCCCCCCCTCCAAAAAAAATATTTTGGAAAATTGAGGGAATGGTATTTTTTTAATAATTTGGAGTTCTTTAAAATAATAATCAAACTAGCTTAACATGTTATGTTTATACAGAAACTTAAAACTCATCTTATTTACAAGTCGATGATTCAACGACTAGTGATCAGAAAATTCTAAACTACACAAAATTTTACATAAGGAAACAGGTATCAATAATCAAAAAAAGGGGGTTTTGCTTATAAACCCAAAGTTTTACTTCCAAAAAATAACCACTTTGTTCTATATGCTCCAATAAACCCAAATTTCAAACTTTGTTTACCTTTAGACCCAAAATATAGAACACAGAGTGTATAGCTATATACACTACGATATGCAGCTATACATCCTAGTGTATGTAGCTATACATCCAAAGTGCGTAGGTGTACGCCCTAGAGTATGTAGCTGTACATCTTATAAAATGTAGCGGTACATCCTATTGTAAGGGGCTAAATACTATGTTGTATATTTTGGGGCTGTTTGGTTCGTTGTTTTAGGCCAAAGAGATACAATTACCCCTCTGACAACCCCCTCCACATGGGCTAAATGAGTTTTTGCATTTCTTTTCTCAGCTTTGGCTCGCAAGGAAATGGGCTGGGTTACTCCCTCACATCTCAGCCAAATTTTCGTCAACCATTTCCGCTCAAAATCCACGAAAATCGTTGGAAACCCTAGTTGCCTCTAACAATATCGATCTTGTTTCTTATCGTTGCTTTTTTTGGCGAAGAAAGAGAAGGCTAGGGTTACCTCCCTCCATTCTCTCCCCGCCAGAAATTTCACACGAGCTTTTTTCGTCGACTTTTTCATCTACTAGGGTTTTTCGTCATCTTTGTCTTTTGCCTTCATTGTTGGCTTCTTTGTCGTTGTTAATTGCTCAGTGAGTTCCTAAACTCTACACATTTTCTTTAAAATTATGATTTTGTGGTTAGAGTGATGATGAATTGTGTAGTATTAGAGGAGGAAGAATGGGTTATTGTGATCATTTGTGGTTAGGTTGATGATGAACCGAATTGGCTTGACTGAGGAGATCTGAAATCCTATTGTTTGTGATCATTTTCGTTTTGCCTGAAAGTTGAGATCTGAAATCCTATTGTTGCCTGAAATTATTTATGAAATTCCTGTCATTTTAATGTTCAGATCTGAAATTATATTGTTGGCTGGAATTTTTCATGAAATGTTAGTTAATAATTTGTAATTTGTTCACACATCACATGAATGTTCACACATCTTTAATATGCAATTTGTTCGATTTTTGAGTTACGTAAAAATTGCCACAATACACATAAACAAACACAATTGCTACTTAAACAAGGTTACATGTCATATCTTTGAAAATATATTAGTTTGTAATTTTTGAAAATATATCAGTTTGTAATCTTGTTGGTTTGTCATTAATTTTTGTAAATTGCAATTCATTCAGGTTTTGTTAGAATTCTACTTAGTTTCTAACTGGATAATGATTTTTGCATCGTTGATGGATGGTGATGGGGATTGTACCGATGAACAAAGTATTGTTAATATGGTTCAATGTGTTGCACTATCCGTTTTTATTATAATAATTACAGTCATAAGGAGAATACAAGCTAGACGTAAAATCAATTCGCAGTGGTCCAAGTGAGGAGAAAAAAAAGACAAGAGAGGGCTAGAATTGAACACATAGAGTGTATTTATAATAGTTTTAGTGATAGTTGTGTAAATTATATTAGAATGTGGAGTGGTGCTTTTGTTAAATTAGTGAGTATAATGAACTAGCGAGTATAATGAGAAACAATAGACTGCTAAAAGACTCAAGGAATGTAACAGTAGAAGAACAATTTATCATGACACTGAACATTTTGGGTCATAAATCTAAAAATCGCATTGTCAGATCTCATTTTATAAGATCAGGGGAGACAGTCAGTAGATATTTCAGCCAAGGTATTACAAGTAATTATTTGCCAACGTGGACACTACCTGAAACAAGCTCCTAATGACATTCCCCAATAGATCGTTAACAACCTGCTATACTACCCTTATTTCAAGGTATATCTGCACTTTAAGCACATTTACATGTATAATAAAGGAAAGTAAATTTTAATTTAGGTGTGTGATGCATGTATTATAGGATTGCATTGATATGATAGATGTGACTCATGTTGATGCAATGCTTTCGATTAATCTTGTTACACGCTTTCCAGTCCGCAAAGGTGTTACACAGAATGTGCTTCTGGTTAATCTTGTTGTACGCTTTAGGGACTCATTTTCTTATTTTCATTGAATTAATTAAACTATACTTTTTAGGACAAGAGCTTTAAGAATGCTAAGCTTAGACAATACGTCAATAAACCCTTGAGGTATTATGATGATCTCGCCCTCATCATCAGGGATGATCAAGCTACAGGACAAGTTGCTAGTTGTAGGGTCAAAAAATTTGAAGTTGGATTGATTCTCTTGTTTTAAGAAAACTGGGTTCGATCACTTGGTATGAAACCCTTACAATCACTCATACTCTCTCTCGATTACAGATGAAGAGAAGATTAATTCAGCTCCTTCTTATTTAACGTGGGTTCTTAGTGGAGAAAGGATGCCTCCCCCAATACTTGAGTCGATATTGCCTCTCGTTGACGATCAGAACAAGATTACTAAAGCTTCTGATGTTCGTTTGACTGCTAGAACCGAGGTTTGAATTACAGATCTATACGCAGGAGTTCTGATCTCTGATCATAGCCAAAAGTCTAAAAGTCCGAACCCTTTCCTCTGTAGCCATCCATGACTATTTATAGGGTTTAAGCAAGTAACCGACGTGCTATAATCACGGGTAAAGGGGCGTAACTGTCTCCTCCAAATCAGCGTGCGCCGTAACGTGCTCCTAAAGATTAGCCCACGTGGCTGACTAAGTCTTCAAAGTCGTTACAGTTGGATCTCCCACGGACGATGAGCCTTACTGCATGGTGAGGTTCGTCAGATTGGACGAGCCTCAATATACATCGAGGTTCATCTTATGAGGCAAGTCTGACGAGCTTTGTCTTCACTGATGAGCTCTGTCTTCATTGACGTGCTTCAAATCTCGTTTCCAACGACAAGCTTTGTTATTTGAGATGAGGTCTGTCATTGTAATGACCCTCGTCATGCTCGTTATGAGATTCAACGCTTCAATGCCAAATGATTAGCCGATGATCTATGAAGATCCATGAGAGTGGAGGAGAGATAGGCTTTTTGACTAGCCTCTCAATCTCCTCTCCTCCTTTCATGTTGATCATGCCTATTTATAGGCTTAGGACCATTATGGAGTGAGTTAATGAGCTTTAACTCCCCTTATAATGAGTGAGTTAGTGGTTATTAACTCTCCTTAAATGGATGAGTTAGTGGTCATTAACTCTTCTTAAATGGGTGAGTTATTGGTCATTATCCTCCTTAAATGTAGCCTCTAAAAATAGTGACAAACGAGATTCATTAATAATGGTTATGCACGAGGTTCATCAATAATGGCCATGACGAACTTTATCTTTAATGACGAATTTTGTTTGTAGACGAACTTCATCTTCAATGACGAACTTCGTTTCTAGACGAACTTCTTCTCAAATAACCAAGTTTGTCTTTTGAGAGGTGAGGTGTCATTCGACGAGGTTCATCTATGGATGGACTTCGTCTTCAATGATGTTCATCATCATGATGGGCTTTGTTGGATGAGATGAGGTTCATTATGATGACGAGCCTCGTCATGCTTGTAGCGAGGTTTAACATTGCTTTATTCCTTAGCATTTTTTAGTGTCTACAAGACCCCCTTCAAAGTTTTCAGACCTAAATTGGGTTGCATGGGTCTGGAATACTTTAAACTCTCTTGGTTGTGGTGAGCTTAGTTTGCACAACGAGCTTGGCCTCTTGGCTTGCTCAGACTCTTGGCGAGCTTTGATGCTTCGGGATGAACCTCGTGGTTCCAGACGAAGTTTGTCATTTCTGGGCGAACCTCAATACTTCAAGATGAAGTCCGGCTATTCATTGAATCTCATCATTCTGTGTGGGCTTCGTCAGACCCATGTGTGATTGACAACCAAGACTTAGGATTTTTAGCAAACACTCAGCTATCAACGGACTTGATGTATCTTTACCAACTACCGTTTGAGTTAGACTATCCATGCATTTTACCCTTAGCATGATAAGTTGGCGATGAATTTCTCTTAGGTTTAATGCTAAGATTTATTCTCTATCTTTAGCCGTTCAAGGCATTGGATTAAGTGTTAGAGTTTGGTTGTGTCGTTCAGTATAACAACTCAACCTGGTATTTTGAAATCGAGGCTCATCGCATGGTAGGTCTGC